CACTCTCTTGATCATTTCTATTGAGAATACACCGTAATGAGCCTAGCCATTTCTCTCCAACCACTCTTGCTTGATTGATTCATCATTTGGTGAGATTGGAGAGCATCCAAGTGTATTGCTTTGAGTGATTGCATCTAAAGGCACTTGGTGATTGTGTTTTGCTGTGGATGTCGCTTGTTACTCTTGGTGGTTGCCACCACCTAGACGGCTTGGTGCAGCGAGGATCGTCGAGCGGAGGAAGATGATTGTCTCCCTCCGATCGTGGTAATTGTGAGGGGTTCTTGACCTTTTCCCGGCGGAGAGCCAAAAGTTACTCTAGTGGATTGCTCGTAGCTTGTGGATCCCCATCCTGTGTTGGTTGTGCGGCATCCGATTGTGGGTTAGGCGTGTGATGCCTATTAGCGCGTGAACCTCCAAATGGGTGAATCGGTACAACGAGGACGTAGCTTACCGGCAAGCAAGTGAACCTCGGGAATAAATTATTGTGTCATCATTGTCTCCGGGATTCTCATTGTGTTTGATTGTATATCTCTTGCCACGGCGATATAAACCTCACTACCTCTTTTGTATTTACTTTCTTAGTGTAGCTAAGCTCTTTAGTGTAACTAGTTTTGAAAGCTAGTTTGTGTCTTGTTAGTTTGGTTAGTGAAGTTCTTTAGTTAGTCTTTGAGAGCTCACTAACTTAGAGAGCAGTGACTTAGCCTTTATGTGAATTAGAGATCATAATCACTAGAATTGTGGATTAGAATTGTGGATATGTGGCTTGCATTTTTAGTAGGCTAGCGCAACACTCGCTTCGCTTCATATTTGTCTAACCACTTGGCTTAAGTGTTGTTGTAGAAATTTTTATAGGATATTTACCCCCCTTAGTCATTAGGACCTTCCAAGCACGCTGCCGCAGCGCGCAGTAGCGCATGGCAGAGACTAGCTTTTGTGAGGATCTCATGGAACCGCACCACGAGGCGGTGCCGCATATGCCAGAGGATGGTCGCCTCCTTCTCGATGGCCACGGGCCGGTCAGCGATGATGGCGGCGGGTTCTCGGTAAAGATCTCCTCGGGGTATTCTTGGGGAGGAGCTCGGGGAGGCTAAGCACGCGTGTGTCGGTGACGAGATCTCTCCTCCTCACCGTCTTATTCCATGGCAAGGGAGAGGAAGGGAAATCACACGAGAGAAGGAGGATAGTGATGCTGTGCGGGTGAGCAAGAGTGAGAGTTCATGCGAGAGAGAGAGAGGCGTGTGGTCAGGGATATCGAAGGGGGTAACATTACCTATTCCTGAGAATTGGTGACCGTATATGTGTTATGCAACCAACCAAACACAAACAGTTATGCTATCCAGTATCTAGTGCAGGTAACCAAATAGAATTTTAAGGTGCGCAAAGTCGAAACGCAGACAACCAAGGCGACGTGCCCGTCGACAACGGGGCGCCTGTGGTGACTTCATCAATCTCGAGATTTGCCGGTCCAACTCAGTTCTTCGGAGGTGCTCACAGGAGTAGGGTGTGCATGCGTGTGTTTATAGGGGTGAGTGTACGCTCGTGTATATGAGCATATGCGTCTGTAATTGGGTCTCGTAAAAAAAACAATACTTAAAAGCATATATGACTATAATGGATTGGATATCCAATACTACATCCTTATGCAGGCTATCGTAACACGAGCAACCAATCAGACCCTTGAGACGTGTTTTGACGCATCCGTGGCGTAGAAACATCTGCCAGGCACGTGTATTCGACCCTAGACGCTCAAAATCGAACGCAAGTGATTGGCGTGGGCGTAGACCACGTCGCCATCGGAGGGACGAAGCGACGTGGGAGGGACGAAATTTACGAGTGCAAAACAGGGACGAAGCTAGGCCGCCTAGGCGCGTCATCTCCGTTTGCCGCCGGAGACTGTTCTATCCTATACAGTGGGTCCTGCTGTGATGATAACGGCATGTTGATGAAGCAACGTCAGCTCTGATGTGGACGCGCGAAGAACACCGAGACCCCGCGACATGGTCACACGCACGCACGCACGAATATGATTCACAAGTCGACGACCCCCCCTATGACTTGCTCGACGAGACCAAAATAAATACAGTAGCTAGGAAGGCACCGATGCATGGCTCCAAATCAGCCCGCCTGCTGGGCCAACTATAGCGGCGCTTCCGGCCGGGTGGGCCCCGCCCGTGAATAATCGTTGACCGTTTGACCCGCGCTGCTACTCTGGCTCTGGTCAATCTAAAACCGCACATGTTGTTAGGAATTTTTTTGTTTGTTTGTTTACTAGCATGAAGTATTGGCAGCACGACCAGTGAAGTTTTCCATTGTTCTCGATAAACGACGTTTTCCGTAGTTGTTTTCCGTTGTCGGTTCTCCTTTTCTCCCGATTTGCACATAAAACATATAGTTCTATTCCCTCGGTCCTAAATTAAATAAAAGTCTTTAGGTGTCCTAAGTTAAATTATTTTAAATTTAACTAAATTCATAGAAACAACACCAATGTTCATGACGTGAAATTATTTTCAGAATGCACTTATTTGCTATTATAATCGTCGTTATTTTTTATACAAAAGTTAATCAAACTTAAATTAATTTGACTTGAAGTGATTCTGCAAGTTGATTTATCTTGTGACCGAAGAAGCTAGTACATACATTGAGTATAACACTAGGCATGCCACCGTGACAAGTGACAGGCCAGGCTTGGACCGTTCAACACTACACGTAGCTATCTACGATATACAGCATTACGGAGCTACTGTTGCTAGTCCGGATCCACGGTTGAAATTATAACCTGAGTTTCCGATGGAGACGTGTGAATCGGCACCACACCAGGCACGCGTGTTCTTCATGGAGGAGGCAACACGTGCGCTGTAGAAACAGAGTGCGTCTTTGTAGAGCTAGCTGTTAGGCGTCGGCAGTTGAAACTTGTTCATGCACGCTACTCCTACTCGATAAGCGGCACTCCAAGACAAGATTGGACATGAAAGTTTCGACGACCTATAAAGCCGCTTTGCGCTCCCAGAAGAAAAACACAGAGAGGAGAGGAGAAGAGAAGTGGTGGCGCCGTGCGGAGCAGTTTTGGCGTTGGATTGGGTTGAGTTGAATTGAATTGAAGGTTGAACCGTTCAGTCAGTGCCGCTGCCGCTTCTCGGCTCTCGGCCACGCCCGGGCAAAGCGGCCGTAGACGCGCGAGGAGCCCCGATTCGATACGGCTGCGACGTCCGTCCTGCCTCGGGCATTGCTCTGTCCTTTGCCCCGCTCGCCCAAAACTTTCCACTTAAACTCAATAGAGGATGCTCTGATGATGTACAAATCGCTTGCGTAAACATGCGCTGCACGCTGGTGACACCTCGGCCAGGTGCGCTGAACTTTGCTCCGCGCGCCGCCGCATCCCGCAGCGCGTGTGACGACTCTAGACCGTTAATAATTTCCTCGCTTCGTCTTTCACTTTAACTCCTCGCCTCGAGAATTTTCAATTGGCAACACAGTCGCACACGCACACGCACACGCACGCACGCACGATGACACGAACACGATCGTGCCGTGGATTCACCACGGGCGGCGCTGAACAGTTTGCGCGCGACCTCGAGCCTCGACGACTTCGTTCGCGGCTACCTAGCCGAGAGACACCGGTGTTAAGCCAGGACGCTGCCGCGCGGCGGGCCACCTTTCAACCTTGATGAGTCTAGTCTCCTCCTCGTCCTCATCACCCTGATTTATTATAGTGCGCTGATTTGTCTTTTACAGGTGCATGATCACTTGTCGTACATACTTAAGCGGTGACACGTGTAAATGATATTATCCTAATCCTAAACGCTAAACGATGAATAGTCGATCACTCCCCGCTTATCCATTATTCAGGCTAAATGGTCACTCTTTTCCGCCTACACAGTACTCCACTGTGATAGGCTGTGCTACTCGCGTATGTAACCAACGTTGTACTGCTTCTTCTCCTTCTTCTTATTAATGACAACAAGCTGGGAAACCAGATCTTTATAAAAAAGCTAAATGACCACTTAAATAGGATAAACAGTTTATCTTCTCTATCCTCTTCTCTCTCTTCCATCTTATCATAATTCTGACGTGGCACTTTCCAACTCATACGACCAGCTTATGTCACTTATTATATGTACTGGCTCTTAGACAATAAATCACGTCTATAGGGGACCAAAATATAAAGAAATGTCATGGGTAGATGATTTTCTTTTTTGAAACCGATGGGTAGATGATTGGAGAGAGATGATAGGTGATTTTGAGAGAATTTGTTCGAAGAAAATATCCATTATGAATATGGTACCTATATGAACGACTTGGTAAGTATAAAAACTATCCCATAATTTTTTTTTTGGGGGGGGGGGGCGCTCTCCAAACAACACAACAACATTAAGCATCTCGTGGATCGAGTTAAGACTCTGTTCGCATCCCATGCTCTAAATTTAGCCACTAAATTTTAGACTACTTTAGCTCTTAGCCTCAAACAGGAGGTCTAAAGTGTTTTTTAAATGTCAAAAAAACTTTAAACCGAACAGTTTTTTAAACTAAAATAGTCTAAAGCTATAGCAAACTAAACTTTAGAGTAAAGAATAATACCCAAAGTTCATGAGCTAAAAAGTTACGAGATAAAACAAACCACAAACGGTGGAAAATTACAGCCCCACTTGGCCCACCCAGAGGAACCACTTACCCGGAAGTTGCGTGGGCTTACGCATTCGAGCACGTGTCTGTTTGAACTCTCAAGCGCTCTATGCATTTGTTATTAAAAAAAAACTCTCAAGCTCTATGTCATCAATCGCCACCAAGATAAATACCCGGGCACCCTCACGACTCCACCCTTGCCTTCATCACTACCAGGACAGTGCTCCCGTCCCCAAAGACAAACCAGGCAGGCAGCAAACACACGCCTCCCTCGGCCTGCCTGCACTGCCCACACCTCCCTCGAACAGACAAGCCAATCTAGCAAAGCACAGCTTCAGACAACACAGCACTCAGAGGAGGAGATCGAGTAGAAGCAAGTAATGGGGAGGGCTCCGTGCTGCGAGAAGATGGGGCTCAAGAAGGGGCCATGGACGCCCGAGGAGGACAAGATCCTGGTCGCCCACATCCAGAGCTTCGGCCACAACAACTGGCGCGCGCTGCCCAAGCAAGCCGGTGAGCAACCCACTCTGCTTGCTTCTCGCGGCATAGCTAAGGTACCCTCCCAGCCGGCCGCGGAGTGCTAACTATCGAGACGTGCTGCTGCTGCTGCAGGGCTGCTGCGGTGCGGCAAGAGCTGCCGGCTCCGGTGGATCAACTACCTGCGCCCGGACATCAAGCGCGGCAACTTCAGCAAGGAGGAGGAGGACGTCATCATCAGCCTCCACGAGCAGCTCGGCAACAGGTACCATTTTCCTCCTCGTCCTTTTCTTTCCCTTTCTCGCATTGCTGTCTTTTCGGGTGTTTTGCTTTCGTTGCTTCAAACGCAAATTACTCTTCGTCTTCGTCTTCCTCTTGCTCCTGTCAGTAGGGCAGGGCATGGAGTACAATACATTATTATCCCCGTGGGCCCCGCCTCGAGGCCGCCGAAGAAAGAAAATCCCAAGTGTGCAGGCCACTTGGTCACTAGTTAATTAATTAATTGCGTCACTGATGATGATGCGCGAGATCTGCCGGAGATTCCACCTTCTCTAGTTTGTAGTTTGGCCGTCCGTCCTCGTCGTGGACGACGAACGGGACACTGCTGCGTGCCGTCTAGAGCTCAGTGCAGTTAAAAAAAATTTGAACTGGTACAGCGTTAAACAAGTGCGTGTGATTCCGCAAGGGGAATCAAATCACGCAGCAGACGGAGATTAGGATATGAGAAGATAGCAGCATAGAACATGCATGTCATCTCGCAGATCGTTGTAAATTTGTAATCGATTCCTTTTGACAAAGCTGTGCACTGACGAGCTCTGAATTGTTTGGTCACACATAGGTGGTCCGCGATCGCCGCCAGGCTGCCCGGGCGGACGGACAACGAGATCAAGAACGTCTGGCACACGCACCTCAAGAAGCGGCTGGATCCCACCAACAAGCCGGAGCAGCACGGGGCGCAGGCAGCTGGCGCCGGCAAGAAGCACAGGCCCAAGCGCGGGGGCGCCAAGAAGGCGACGGTCCCGGCCACCGCCGCGCCGGTGTCGCCTGAGCGGTCGGCGGCCTCGTCGTCGGTGACCGAGTCGTCGTCGTCCATGACGGAGCAGGAGCAGGGCAACACGGGGAGCTCGCCCGGGTTCCCCAAGGAGGAGAGCTTCACCTCCTCCGCCTCGGACGCCGAGGAGTTCCAGTTCGACGACACCTTCTGGTCCGAGACGCTGTCGATGCCGCTCGAGAGCTTCGACGTCCCCATGGAGCCCTCCGACGCGTTGGGCGCGTCGTCGGTTGGCGCCGACGGCGACTTGGACTACTGGCTCAGAGTGTTCATGGAGTCCGGCGACGTGCACCAAGAATTGCCGCAGCTTTAGAGCTAGCGCGCGCGAGAGAATTTTTCAGTTCCGTGGCTAATTGATTCATCGTTCTTTTTCTCTCCCTCTGCACTGCGCGTCTTGCATCGGAGCGGAGGGGGCAATAGCAGCGAATTAACAGAGAATGAAAGAGTGTCCACGACGAAATTAGGCAGAAACAACGCGACACGCCATTGCATCTATCTTGTTTGCCTTCTTGTATATAAAGATCGATCGACAAGGTATCGGTGATCGAAACCTATGCTATGCTATCCATTCCAAGAAGAATTCTTTTGCACGCTGTGCATTGAGATTTCCATGTACAGTAGTGAGGATCACCAGAACAGAAATGGACTCGGCCTCTTCCAATTCGTTGATTAAATTCATCTAGTCTGCTACTCGCGTGTCATGCCAATGCTGAACTCGTGTACGGCTTCTGTCCTGCGATCTGTCCATTCTCCAGTGCACGCTTCGTCCCAGCTGATGAGGTGAAATGGTAACTGTTGCCTTTGAGGAAAAAAGTCTGAAACACGTGTGCAGACTGCTGAGACTGGGACAAACTAAAGGAGGATTTCTTTTGTGTGATTGACAGTTAAACAATGCCAAGCACAGATCTGGCTGTCTCCTGATTGATTATGCGTCACCTTTGTTTGATCTGGAAAAGTAAACGAAGAACATGTGGGGTGCTGATCCACAAATGCAGATTGGCGCCGCCATTTTTCTGTTCCAACCTGTGCCTTTCATCCTTAAGCTATACTATATCAACAGTCTCCAATGGCACAAGCAGGTCTCCTGCCGTTGTCTACGCTAGGGTTCAGAATCTGAACTTCAGATACTGTACTGTCGAGGATACCTTTTGAGCTGTGCTAGATGAGTGGAACACACTGCTAATTATCGTCGCCGACAGTTTGATGAGCATCGCAACAAGGGGCCCTTAATGATCATGATCATACGCTCTATACAAATCAGAATTTTTTAATGAATATACAGTACATGTTGCAGTAAACATTTTTTTAGGAAACAGGAGAGGCCAAAGCCCTTACTGAAGATGCATTAGTGAAAACAAGAGTACAAGTTCAGAAAAGAAAGAAGGAATCAACAAAAGAGGAGGCAAGATGTTGTATTAGTAAACATTGCTCATTGTTTCAAAACAAGATGTGAACACTTTCGCATTGTATCCTAGTCAAGTCAAAGGAGGAGTTGCCTGAGTAGACGAGTGCAGTGTAGGACATGGAATTTATCCTTTGATTGAAGGTTTCAAAAGGAAATTTTCTTAAATGACTGCAGGGCATAAAGAATTAGTTCCATATCTAGAAAGGGAAAGTTAATGTGCGGAAAACATGCATATCACTCAGTGCATGATGCAGACGTAAATATGACATAGTGCTGACGTAAAGAATACTGATGCCATTGTGTGCTAATTACTCCAGTAATTACTTCGGACGTATAGTTTCCTCTTGTAAAATTTCTAGTAGCTGGCGTAGTCAACTCACTAATCCCCTTACTAAGCACTGATGGAAATCAAACTACTATTTTTCCTTATTTTATCACTCTGAATTTACTATTTATTATTGTACTAAATATAGACTCTTTGGTTTAATTTAGACCGTGAGATCGTTATAAATAAGTTTTCGTTTTTTTCCCAATTAATCTCTCAACTTCTAGGTCCTCTCGGCGAACATGGTGTCTCCTTTTTGTATTATTGTATATTAGTGAAATAGATAATTATAATATAGTTTTGGTTTGTTAAATTATTTTTCCACAATCCGCTTCTCTCGAGACAATCTCTAAGCGAAGATTTTCTCTTCGCTTTTTTAAACTCTTCAAATATCTGGCGCGAGAATCGGTGGAAATAAGCAAAGCGTTTGGCGGGATTCTCGCTTATTTCCACCGATAAGCCGCTTTGTATACCACAGCTCGCCATATCTAAGCTTAGCCTATGTTTGCTTGCTGCCAAACCTGCGGCAATGTGTGGCGTTCCAGAATCAGCAAAGCAGCAACACTGTGTTTCCCATCTCGTCTTCTCGCCAAAAGCTTGGCGTAGCTTTTGCTCGCCTCACATGCGGCGTCGCCTGGGATTGGGTGCGGCAACTTCAGGTCAAGAACCAAACGCGCCCTAAATCAACAAGGATAACAAGTGTTTGATGTTTCGTCTCGTTGATTCAATGGTCTACCATGCTGTTTATTCCTTCATGATAGAAAGCTATATATAGATGCATGCTTTATTGTATTTAGATAATAGTAAAATCTAAAAGGCAATGTGTAGGCATCACTAACAGGAATATGGTCCTCGCTAGAAAAAAGGTTGCCTCGGGTACCATCTCTAATTATTGGTCTAAGCAACATCTGAGATTCAAATTTGGCTACGGGATATGGATAGGTTGGATTTTTTTTTCTCGAATACGCAAAAGATTTACGTATCATTGTAATTAAGAAGAAGAGTTTAATCATACAAACGACGCGCTTCAGAGGAGCGCCCTCGGAGGTATTACAGCCGTAGACTGGAACTATCCTAGCAAACCATTCCAAACTTTGATATTACATAAAAAGGTCAACAACTGAGCTAAGGGCAGCGTTGCAACATACGAAGCCGGGCGCCTCCGCTGCTGGCTGCGCGGTCCTACTCCGGCGTCCGAGAAGAGCTTTCTACCAGCCCTGGTGTTGGCCGCTGGAAATAACTCGTCCAATGCTTCAACTTGGCTCCACATCAAGTTCCCAGCGAAAATTGCGTCGTATGCTCCCTTGGACGTGAAAAAAACTGGTGCCGGCGGCGGCGCACAATGCCCATACTCTGCATGAGTAGTAACTCGAACGGCTTGGAGGTGGGTACATGCGACAACGCATGGATAGGTTGGATTAACTTTACAATATTCCACAATAGCTCAAACTAGCTATAGGTTCAGTTTAAATTCCATTTTTAAATGCTAGTGGAGATAGCTGGCTGACTGGCTGCTATTAGCTCAATGATACGCTTCTAAAGGTTTGTACACGTATCCTTTCATGTGTATTAGTTCGTACTATATTGTTCCTAATTGCAGTACCAGATCAAAAAGGCACGAACAAAAGTCTATCTTTTCGTCAGACATGTGAACATGTGCTCTTACACTCACTCACGCATTTCTTCCTCCATGCCAGAAAAGTCAAATTTAATGAACTTTAACCAATAATTTAATATATGAGTTACGACTTAAACTTGCATCAATAAATTTGTATTGAAAATGTTTCCTCGAAAAAATTGTATTGAAAATGCTTCTTAGATAATATTTATTCTTTAGCAAATGACAGCATATTAAAGGACAAATTAGGGGTATATTTTTTGTATGCTTTTTATTATTAAAATGTGCTTATCATTTCGAAACCGGAGGGAGTATATTTGTATATGTCAAGAACAGGGCATCTGTACAATATACCAAAATTTCTGGAAATGCATTCAGAGAAAAAAAAACAGTAGTAATGTGAAGTAGAAGTCAAAAGTTGTGAATTTCTACCTTGATTAGACCCACTCCACCAACAAACTCTTGGAGGAATATATTTAACTTGATAAGATGAAGATAGACTTGGCATTATTGTTACTTATTGCAGGCACTATAATTAATAAATATGGAAGTTTACGGCGGATGGCAACAGTAGCCTAATCATACATTCACTCGAACGAAGAAGATGCACGGAAGCTGGAGAAGGGAAACCTAAAAAGTGCCACGACGATAGTTGGAGTCAACTTCAAGCTTTCCACACATCACAATTCACAAACGTCAGTGTCTCTTCTCCTGGAGAGCATATAGTGTGGTTACACCACTTACCACTACATCTAACATGTGTATGCACAATGATTGCACCACTAATCCTACCAGCAAAAACATGTGATCCCAATGCAAGCAGCCATTGCTTTTTCATAATAAGACTACTGGACCTTTAGCTAGACCTTTTGGTTTGTAAATAAATTTCTAAATGTGCGTGCTTGGTTTGTCGGTTTGTCAAGTTTTTTCTTTACCAACATGATGCTTTAGTGTTACATAAGACGAAGCTTGCTGAAGCCATGATGCTGCACACTAACCTTTTTCTGAAAAAATGTACTATATATATGTATTCTGCAATGACACCTGAATAAAATAATAAGTAAATTGTAGTGGTCATCCACTCATCCTGTAGTTGATCTTAATCAGGGAACCGCGCAACAGTTTTGTTACATTTCTTATTGGAAGCAAGTGCATGCTTGGTGCAAACAATAGGAAGTTGTTCAAAAATCTTTAGAAAACAGTTGGGATCGGAACATGATTGACAGATGGACATGTGCCAACGCACACATGAAGCAAGTGCATGCTTGGTGCAAACAATAGGAGGTTGTTCAAAAATCTTTAGAAAACAGTTGGGATCGGAACATGATTGACAGATGGACATGTGCCAACGCACACATGTAATCACAGGAACAGGATCCAATAGCAGCCATGTTTCGCGATCTTTCCCCGAGTCCAAAAAAGGTACACTTCTCGATTTCAAGAAGCCAACAAATTTTATTGTAAAAAAAAAAGCCAACGAATTTAAGTTTTATTAAATTGATAAAAAAACTACTAATATTTATGGTATCAAATAAGTATCATTAGGTCAATCATGAAATAGATTTCATTAGTAAATCTATTTAGAGACATAAATATTGATATATTATTTTTTGTACTTTCTTTTAAAATCACATTTGCAAGACACAAATATTGACATATATGTATGTATGTATGTATGTATGTATGTATGTATGTATGTATGTATGTATGTATGTATGTATGTATGTATGTATGTATGTATATGCACACACCTAACCCTTTGAGCACCTCGAAAGACTGAGCTTTAAGATTGATGAAGTTATCATAAACACCTTGCCATCGGTGGACGTATTGCCTATCATTGAAAAAAATATTGATATTAAATCCTAAATAAAATAAATTCAGGAAAATGTGAACGCCCACATCAAGTTGAGGACTTAATCTGGGTGGACAGTGTCCACCAAAAAAATCTATTGGTTGACTTTT